AATAAACACTGGATTTCTATGCAGTGCAAAAGGATCCAGTATTTTTTTCAGACAAGATCTGCCAAATAATACTCCAGATTGGCAAAAATTGAAACAACCACACTGTAGGCTGTTCTAGAGTTCTGCATACTGAGACCATGCTAATGCAATCCTTTTCTACACGAGATACCTAAAAAAAAAACCACTTTGCATGCTTTTCAAGAACCAGCTAGGAACTGCAAAGCAGTTTATAATCCTTCACCCACCTGCTGATTTCAATTTAGCTCTGGTAAACTAAGACTTCTCTAAGCTCACGGAGAGTAAACCAACTTAGTTCTATAGTAGTCTTATTTTTGGAGTACAGAATGCATTGGCTCTAGTGCTGCACATTGTGAAAACAGATTCCTTAGATGTGTCAGAAAAATTAAGGTTACACTTCTGTAATCTCCAAAAGTTGAGGATCTATTTGAAGTACTAACATAGTGACGGCATCTTCAGCACAGTCAATTATTTTATCATGACTATTTATCAGAAGAGCTGTTTTATTACAGTATAATCACCGATATCTGGGATTGTGATTACACAGCTTCCCAGTGAATGACAGTCCAAATCCTGTAGGCTCCGGATGAGTTAAATGTTACCTTCCTAATCTTGAACTGTGATCAAAATATTGAGATAAGTATTTAAAATAAATATGTGGGTGCCATATTACAAAGACTGATGTTATTTGACTAGGATTAGAGCAAAGTGCATATAATACTTTCACATCCACAAAAAAATTGCAACTCTTAGGGCACAGAACTGGTATGTGTATATTGTGGGGCATGACGGAAGCACCCAATTTTCACAGATTTCAAAGCTGTGCTGATGTTGGAATTTCCTGCACTACTAGGCTCTATTGCTACACAACCAGCAATGGCAACTAGAAGCAGAGCTGCCCAAAGAACATAAATCCTTCCATTGAGGAGCATTATGTTTTTAAAAACATTGGTCTCTATTCAGGATAAAAAGTCAAGCATGAGTTTTTCTTCTCCTCATGGAAAGAAATGTTAAAAAAGATATATATTTCCAGAGAACTGAAATGAGATTTTTTGGCCTGCCAGTTGCCTGCCTAGAGTTCAGGCTCATTTCAGCTACCTCACAGCCCAGTTGCTTGTGTGCTTCTCCAAGAGCCAGGCTAGGAAAGAAAGCCAGGGGGGTCAAGAGCTTGGGCTCCCAGCCCCCTGAACCCACTGGAAGGCTTTTCTCAGTATCCTGGCAAGCGGGCTGCAGGGGTAGGTAGAGTCCCCCCATCCTGGTTCCACTTTCCAGCTGCATACCTTGAAGGCTTTTGTCAATTTTGCTTTCTTCCTGCACATAGCCTTCCAAGCAGGTGACTGTCATTTCAACTGTCCTACCAGAAATACTGAATTTTTGGAAAGGAGCCTGAAATTTCTTTGGATAACATTAACTCAAAGCAACTTGGAAAGAGTTTACCTGGCCTTTAGCATATAGTTCATCTGTCTGCCTGCAAAACTTGAGAAATGACCTCTCACAAAGAATGAGATTTACATGGAGTTCCTCCCATAATAAACAACAAATGTAAGTGTCAAAATCTGGCCTCAATTAAGCAGCACATAGCAAAGCCATGACTTCCAAAAGTTAAGCCAAATTATGTATGTAAAGGGTTCTATTTAATGAACCAGTCATCCATCTCTATTTCATTTAGGAGTTGGAGAGGAAGAGGGAGGTGGAGTGATGTCTTATAGTATGCAGCTGAAGAAAATTTTAATTAATTACACACAATATGCATGAATTTAAAATATGCAAGTAACTGCATGAGTCTATGCATTACACACTATTTGATTTCATAAAAGGTATTTTATGTAGCCAGACAGCATGAGGCCTATTCACCATGTGGAAGATACAAAATGGGCTTAAGCAGCATTTAGTAGTTCACAGATCCTGTACTAATATTATCTGTTAGGATGCATTTCATGTATAATCCTCAGTGAACACAGAAACCCATTAAATGACAAGCCTATATATAGTACCAATACGGTTAGTATCTACAGCACTTTGAGATCCCTAGGTAAAGGTTATTATTGTCATGCGAATGATCATTACTTGTGTGTGTGCTCACTGCCTGGCCACTGTTCTCATACACCATGTAGTTTCAAAAAGCAGAATGATATTTTTTTTGTTCCACATGTTCATACCTAGATCTTAATCATCCCTAGATTTAGTTCTTAAAATTGAGGGTATTAGCAGCTTCCTAAACTGAGCTCTCTGCTTGCTTGGTTTAAGTATACTGCACGATATGTAAACTCTAACTAATCAAATGTTTCGACAATGCATGCTTTGAAAAGGTGACTTAGATATATTCAAACTGCACTGCAGAGATTATATTTTTCTTCCACATGCAGAAAGAAGTTCAGTTTATGTGAGCTGATAGGAGGGCCCAGCCAAACAGGGGTGCAAAGCCACAGTCTGTTTGCAGGAATTCCCCCCAGTCTATTAAATTCCTACTGTGGCTCTACCAGGGAATCAAAAGATAAGAAGAAGTGACTGAGGGATTAACCTGTCTTTGCATTTCATTCCTTCTCCACCCCTTTCTTACCTTCCCAGGTGGATCTCTCCATGAGAAATCCCTCTGACCTCACTCAAATTATTGCAGGTGGCAACTCCTCCTACAAATTGCCCACTTGAGGAAACCAGCATTCAGAAGCAGCTACCAATTACAGGTAGTGAGTGACCACATGGGAATGTTGCTCCTCAGCTAGCTCTGTTACCATGGGAAACAGAGTGAAGGCCTTGACACTGTGCTCATAAACCCTGGGCCTCTGCAGGTTACAAATAACTGTAGGTAAAAAGAATCCACCACACAGAGGAAAACAAATCAAAGCAGAATTGTTTGCCCGCATTCAGAAGGCTTCCCTAGGCAGGCTTTTTCTTCCTATCCTCCCTGTCTTTTGAAGAGGTGTACAAGTCTAAAACATCCATGAAGGCTGACGATCCCTCCTGACTTAATGCTGATGAGTTTCACAATTTTCCGTCATCCCAAGGAGGGATGCTCCTCCCCTGGCAATCTGTTGCGCTCTGAATACCTTTGTCTCCGTGCTGGCTAGTTCTACTTGGGAACATGGGTGAGGATGCTATAAGTGAAACTGGCCCCTTGCAGCCATTGATGTGAATCAAACCTGCAGTATCCTTCAGGCCCCTGTTTAAACAATACCTAAAAATCAATGAAGAATGGATATTCAAAGCAAGGGAAGGGTGAAAGTGGTTTTCTTGCCATTTGTCTACCTAAAAGTGTTATTTGATAACAAAGAGACAAAAAACTGCAACTGCTGTGGTAAATTAAATAAACGTACTATTAATTTAACTTCATTTGCTAAGTGGGACTATTGATACTAATGAGGAAAGGGATGGATGGCCTCATGTTTTAAAACACTGGACAAGGACTTTCAGTTCAGCTCGACTCAGCTGCAGACCATGCAAGTACAAGTCATTTCATACCCTACCCCCCCATCCCCATTTGTTAATATCTCTGCAAATCCCTTGCCTAATGAAATCCTATCACCACCTTTAATGACAGTCTCTGCAGAGAAATGGTTAAGGACTGAATGAGCTATGGATGGGGAACTCATGTCCCTCTGGGGGAGAAGAGGGCTAATACAGTTAAGTTTGCCCCATGCTAAATCCATTTCATGAAGTGATCAGAGGTCCACATTCAGGTCAATCAAACCTTTTTGCAGTGCATCAGTTTTGGGGGTTTTTTGGCAAAAATGAATTAAGAGAATGTTTTATACTTCAAAGAGCAAAATACCAAAACGTGTAAGAGTCACGGGACAGTACAACGGTTAATAAATGGGAGTTGATCCAGACAAATATTGTGCAGTAGCTTCCACTGAAGCAGCCAGTGGTAGTTGCTCATGCAAAGCTCTTCTCACATACAGGTACTAAATGCACTGAAGGCATTGTATCTCTGAGTAATGCAGAGTAATGCACACTGAAGAACTAATTGAGTTATAATGGCAGTCATTTATTTTCAACCTCGAAGCCTTTTCAGCTAGATGTCTTGGCAGCAGCCAGTATTTACTATTTACAATACGATGGGGCATTAAGTATTCGCTAAGTACGGAGGTCATTAGGGGAAGGGAAAAAAACAGTTTGGAAAGAAAGAACAAAGTACACAGAAAGAGGAAGGCTATTTGCACCTCAGTGATCATGAAAAACAAGTCCTTTCTTGCCTTGTAAAACAGTTTAATATTAACCACATTACCTTTTCTCAGGAAGCAGCAGCTTTGGTAAGATAAATAAATAAAACTTATTGTAATGACAAGTAGGAAAAAAAATCTATAACAGTGACTTGTGTCCAACTCTTTCCCCCCCACCATTCCCCCAAGTAACACAGCAGTTGTCATGCTCAAAAACTAAGATCAGAATAAGTCTTGCTGTTTTGCTTTTCAACAGACCCTGCTTTTTATGCAGTATGATTTTATTTTCTGACAAAACAAGGGCTTCTTCAAGAGAAGGCTCTCTCATTTGGCATGGCTGCTGCAGTCACTTGATGCACAGATGGTGTATTAGGAGTTGTGCACATTGGGACTGATCAGACTATGGACCGCATAACAACACACTGCTCTCCTAACAAATGGGAGGGTGACATTGCAGACATACATTCCCTTTCCTCAAGGGACTGGTTAAGTAACCTGAAACTGGACTTATAATTGTTGCTCCCAGTTAGCCATACGAAAGAAGAAGATTTGCCATTAAAGATTTCAGCATGGGGGGGGGGGGGCCTCCAGTGCCAGGGCTGGCAGTGCACCTGTCAGCAGTGCCCCCCTCCCCGGCATTTAATTACAGGCAGTAATTTCTGACGTTTACTGAGCTTTGATCATCTGATCTGTCCAACACTGGGACAGCGTCGTGCCTACGCCACAATTGCAGTGTAGCAGCTTCTCCCCCCTGCTCACACCGCCTCCAGGTTGCTCGTTTTAGCCGAGCAGGTGAAGTTTCCCCCCTGCTCCGCAGCTTACCTCGCGGGACAAGCCTCTTCGCCCTCTTTAGCCTGATTCCCTGCCGCCGCATTGGTGCTGCTGGGGTGGTAAGCCGTTAAAACAACTCTCTGGGAACCAGACAGCCAGTTCATGGTGCAAGCGGCAGCATAATTTCTGAAGATACTAATGAAGTTCCTGCCTCGCCTGGGAACTCAGCTCATTAGTATCAACCAACTCCTCCTCTGAAGATCAGGGTTGGAAACAAAGAGGGAGGGAAGGAGGGGAGGAGTTTATTTATGTGAAATGCTTCCTGTATCTCCGATGAGACTCGGAGGCATGAGCTTTTCATGTAGTGTTTGACTGTTTCCACGTTCAATTGCTTAAGCATCCAAGTCAGATGTATCCAGCTCCTCGGTACAAACAAGTTTATTCATAGACAATGGTCGTTTCCAGGAAAAAGATCGTTTTGTTTTTTTTCCTCCCAGCTCCTGCTTCCAGCCGATTATCCTCGCTGTTTTTGTGCAGCAGGAGTTACAGATTTCCTTTCTCTTCTTGGTGACCGGACTCAGAATTTTCTGAAGACACCTGGCTGAATTCAACTACACGGAGCAGAGCACAGAAACAACACTGGAGAGATGATATATGCTCACATATATGCTAGCATATGCTCAATAATGACTGCCCAGCTCTCCAGGCTACAGCAGATTCTGCTTTTGTGTGTTGGAGACTTTGACAAACTTACACACCAAGCTTTTTCCACCAGAAGTGAAAGTGTGTATACAATGGTAACAATGAAATGTGTTATTGTTTTATATTATGGTAGCATCCAAAGATCCCAATGAGGATGCAAACACAATTATGATAGGGACTGGGCAGACTCGCAAATTAAAAAATCCCTGCCTATAATCTCAACCCCTAATCATGCAAACATTCTACTGCTATGAAGAGTCCTAGTCACTTCAATGTGATGGCTCACTTTATTGAAATAAATAAAGTTACTCATATGCTTAACTGATTGCAGGATCAGGGCCTACTTTATGACTAGATTCAGCTGAGTAGTATAGCAAATGCAGTATGAAGAGAGAAGAGTGAGAGTGCAGCATTTCCAAAGGATAGAAATGTGTGTATCCCAAAGGCTCTGAATCACTTAAAATGCTTCTATGAAATGTACAGCTACTAGAAAGTAACGACAGCAGTGCCCACCAGCCTTCAAACTAAACTTTAATTTTAAAAGCATGAATGGAACATTACACTCAAGAATCAAAAGACATTCAATTGATAGAACCCAGTCCTGTCTGCAAAATTTGCTTGTTATTCCAGGTATCACCTAATAAGACTATAGATGGAAGAGATAAGAAGAAAGACATAGTTTTCCATTTTTCTTCTATTTTTTTTGTGCACAGTCCATTTCTCTGACTCACTGTAGACAATTTCTCCTGTTACTTCTTTACCTGTTTCATCCACAAGATATTTTAGTTTTGTTTTTTTTATAAGAAAAATATTATTGTAAGACTACAGTAACTAGAAGAGAGAAATAAAAGCAGGTTCTCTGTCCCCACTACAATCAGTAAGCCAAGGTGGTGCTCTGAATTGCACTGAGTGCCAATAGCCCCAGTGTCCTTGGCCAGCCTCCTGTCCTCAGTCTCCCAGTATCGAGAGCTGGGAGGTGAGGTGAACTGGTAGTGTGGCCCTACTATGTCCATGAGTTCTCAAGCAATCACACACATCAGCTTTTTAGTTGCTTTGTGCTGAACACACCAGAGCAAAACAGTCAAACGTGAGACCATGGTCTAAGGGAGACAGTTCAAGGTTATGTCTTGCACAGCACCCATAATGTATCCCTTTTTGCTTATGTATTCAGTGTTTAGGATTCATATATGCCTTACATTTACAGAATGTTATGGTGCATTTGAATTATGGTTGCTGTGCACCGTTAATGAATTACTTGGATTCTGCATTATCATACCTTTTGAATCACCTTGTTTCTTAAAAAAAAAAAGAATCAAAAGTTCTTCCAATGAAATGAATGTTTCTGTGTGTAGATATAATACAGTGCACAATGTAAATATCAAACAAGTGCAGTGTAATGTGAACTATTTGCCAGAATGCAAATACGTAAACATCTGACCCTTCTTCAAGGAGCACGCATTGAAATAAGCCTACTATAAATGGCAAAGGGTAGTCCCTTTATTTTTCTGCCTGCTCAATCTTCAGAATGGAGCGGTCACCAAGCGACACCCCAACAATTTTGACCTACAGCCACTTTAAAATGATTCTTAGCTAGTATCCTAATGCCTTGCCCTTATGTGTGAACACTGGGAGAGTCACCAAGCAAGATCAACCTGTCCTTCAGAGCTAGTTCTGAACACATATGCTATATATAGCCATTGATTTGGCAGAGTTAACTAGTGATATCCTTCACCTCGCTAAAGCTGTTAAGAGTTTTGCCAGTGAATACAGTGGAGCCAGATCTTAAACCAATGGATCCCTGGTTGGAGGGGAGGCAGTTACAGAATACCCAGCTGGATGTGTCATCAATGTTGGAGAAGGAGGAGAAACCCCATGGAATTGGGAGAGGTCTCTGATTACAGAGCCATAGGAATCTTAACCCAGCTTTGCTAGGCCAAAAATTGCAGAGGTTCCTTTATTTTAGTTAAACCAGCCAGGGCCACCTTCTGCCTTGGCTGTAGATGCCATCTTTTCAGATAACATACCCCAATAGAAACTAAGCACCTTTTTTTTTTTTTGGAAAATGCATTAAGATAAAAAAAAGAACAGCTTTTCAGCGAACCAAATGGCAGCAACAGGTACAGGAACCAAACCTGCTGCCAGCCCCACATGCCAGATGGGGGCCTCATCAGGCACAGCCGAAGGCACTGGGGTCCAGGGCCACGTGCTGGATCCAACCCCTTGTGCCAGATTGTTCCTGCATACCAGGTCCAGGACCACATGCCAGCCCAATCCTGCATGCCAGATCTAAGGCCAGCATATGGGGTCCAATCCTGTGCACCAGCCTGATGCCACGTGCCAGGCCTGGGGCCAAGTGCCAGGTCCCAGCTATCATGCTGGTTCCATCTGTGAATCAACCTTGTGTATCAGCCCAATGCAGCATATGGGGGTGATATCATCTGGATGGAGGGCTCCACACAGGTTTGGAAATTTGGCAATGGGAAGAATGGTGATAGCATTAATTGCCACTGCTCCCCTGATAAAGTTTCCAGATTCACAAGGAGTCATTTCTCCTATATAATGCACATCCTGGTTTTCACAAGCTAGTTTTGCGGGGAAGGGGGAAAAAAGAAATGTGTTATATATGAGAAAATACAGTATGTGCAGCATGTGCCAGGCCCCAGGGGCTGCTATGATGCCCCTTGGTAGCCACACAGCTCCTGCTGTACTTCCACTCTAGGGTACTCTCCTTCTTCCTGTGCGTGCCACAACTTTGCTGGAATTATTAAAATGTGAAGAGGGTCCTAGAGCAAACCCTAGTCCATCTGACCACCAGCAGATCCCTCTCATATCTTGCTGGTAATCCTGCACTTACTGTAGAAGTGCCCTCCTGGCCCATCTGTGCCTTCAGGATCCCTGTTATCTTATGTGGCCTGTGACCTTCCTTGTAGCCACCCCTATGCCTCACAGATGTTGCTGTTAAAGTCACTCCCCCTTGTTGGGGCTTTGATCTTCATGGCTCCTGCCACTTTCCTCTTGCTGGGCCCTCTAGCCAAGGCCCACTGTAGCGGACCTGACATCCAGCTTTTGTCTTCCCCATTGTGGCTCTGAGCCCTTGGCCCTGGTGTTTGCCTCTCTTGGGCATGCTTGCCCTGCCTCCACCATGCTCAGAAACTACTGGGACCTCTTTCACCCTGATAGTCCCAACTCAGTCCACCCGTTTAAACTATAACAAAGAAATAGGATCTCTGGCTATACCACAAACTCCATACTGAGTCTGAACATAAATATCAATTCCCTGGCTGGACCACAAAACTCCCCCCTACCCTGAGCCATATTCCCCTGCAAGTCAGCAGCATCCTATTTGCATTCCCCCCAGGGCAGTCCAGGTATCTGCCAGGGACTCCCCTACATCTTGCAGGGCTAGACTGCCCCTCCTGGCTCAGGCCCTGGGTTTATATACTGCCTAAGCCCTGTCTCCTTTCAGTCAAGTGACTTCCACAGCCACCCACAGGAGTTCTCATTCTAGGCTTAATAAACAGCCTGCCTTTCCTCCTGCAGCTAACCCCTGCTCAGCTGCCTGGGCTCCCTCTGCTGCAGTTTCCCACTTTAACAGGACCTCTAAGCTCTGTATTTCAGTATGCATGCATGCAGCTTTCCTTCATCCTTTTACCGCTGCTTGCACAAGGGCTGGAGAACTGGCTGAAATAGGAAGGGGGACTGAGGGTAGGAGGAGTTGTTGGTTAAAAATTGACTCCCTTCCCCCCTCAAATCTAAAACAAAATGTGTGTTTAAGAGGGATTTGCATTAGTTTTGTTTTTGGTAACAAAATCAGAATTAAACTTTTAATTAAAAAACTGAAATCATTTCTGGAATGACTGTTTCAGTAATACAATAAATAGGAGAAAAAAGGGGGGGGGGGAAAAGAGAACCATTTTGAGTCATTTCCTCCCCCACCCCCCATTCTTTCACTAGCTCTGCTAAGGGAGAACTACTTTGGCAACCCTCAGAGGAGAACAAAGGTCCTCTGGGAGTGCCCAGTGCCTCAAAAGAGATAGGGGCAAGTGAAAGCAGGGCCATGACTCTACCTTACAAA